CATACATACATACATACATACACCGATAGATAAACAGATACGTATATTTACATACATAAAGATAGAAAGATAGGTAGGTAGGTAGGTAGGCAGGCAGATAGATAAATAGACAAATATATAGAGTTATAAGTCTATTCGGGTCTTTCATCTTCTGAAACCTCAAGGGTTTGGAGTACAGCAACTGGCATTTGGTCAACTGGTTCGCGTCTGGATGTCATCCTCTGTCCTGAATTTTGTTAGCATTTTAGCTCTTTGGTAGCTGGGTCGCGGAAGGTGCGTTGCTACGAAGGATTTTGGTTGCCGGAAGACATGTGTCTCCACATGATGGGGAGCGCGTCGTTGCTAGCGGTTGCCACGACAGCGCGATGCTGACGGCCTCACACTGTGCCATCCCGATTTTTGTCTTATGTTGGCTACAGAGGCAACATGTTTTCGCACTGCGGGTTGATTTCAACTTTGAAAAGCCACTTTGCAGCCACATCTGCTGGTCAAAGTCAGCGGACATGCAGTCGCGAATAAATCGATTAACTGTCCCATGCCCCAATGTGAGGGGCTTTCGAACTATAACAGGGCTTGCGGATATAATATGCAATAATCATATAGGGCTTACAAGAGGATATTCTCACCGACCGGTGCAGGAGTTCGTGGTGACCATGAAGCTGATCTCGGCGGCGCAGAAGAAGCGGAAGCCTTGGAATTAGGGTTGAGGGCTTATGGTTTACCCTAAACCCTAAACCCTTATACCCCTAAGCCCTACACCCCAAACCGACATCCCTAAACCCTCAAAACCAACCCAAAACCTCATACCGAAAGCTTTGATACCCTTAACTCTAAACCCTAAACCCTTATACCCCTAAACCCTCCCCCAAACCGAAAGCCTTGCCTCCCCGAAGGCAGCTCGTCTCTTTGGACCGGGTGCTCCAAACGACCGGATCGACCTCGAGGGACGGCAGCTGAGGGCACTTTGCACGATTGTGAGGCATACGAGCTACATGGCATGATACATACATGTATGTATATATATATATACATACATACATACATACATACATATGTGCATATATATGTATACATATATATATATATGTGTGTATATATATATGTGTAAGTATATGTAAGTATATGTATATATGTGTATAAATAAATAGATAAATAAATAAATGAATGAATAAATAAATATATATATATATCTCTCTCTCTCTCTCTCTCTAGACCGTTGTTAATGGTACTAATGATAATGGTATTCATGTTCGTATCCATGAGTATCTAAAAATAATATCAATGTGATGATCATGTTCATCATACTCACAATGATAGCGGTTGTAATGATGACAACATTTTTCATAATGATCATAGCAGCAGCAAAAATATAACATACAACATCAATAATCACAATAATGTTACTAGTAATAGTATTTAAAACAATAGCAACAATAGAATACATGCAACAATTGCAAGGTTGTGCTTGTTCCTTGAGCTGTTGGCTGGCAGGACCATTTGTTTATGCAGCATGCTACAATCTTGAAGGCGATTTGCCTTGCGCATGTTCCGAAGAGACATCTTTACACGTTATGTAGGTTACGGAGCAAGCTTGCTGTTTGAAGCCCAATCTTTACTGTTCCAGCCGCTTCGTGCGGCTTTCTGTTCCATGGGAGCTTGTGCCTCTGGTCTAAGCTGCTTGCAGAGTCCTCAGTTGCTCGGTTATTGGTTGTTTGTGAACAGCCAGAATCATATCAGTAGCAACAGTGATACTAATAAGGTTTTGTGGTCCCCGTCCCAGGTGCACCTTCTCTCCATGGGAAGGCAAAAGTTTGAGCCTGATCCTTGGGTTTGCCGAGCCGGATATAAATCCTGCATGACCCATAATAAGGAATCTACCATAATTCCCATAGTCTAGGGTCCTGAGGGTAATGCAGGATTTATATCATCAACAGTAGAAGGCGCAACTCTGTGACTTGACGTGGGCGACGAGGCGATGAGGAGGTGCCCATACCGACGAGCTGTAGCCATGCGCCCAGTGATCTTCAACAACCCACAACCCCAAACCCTAAACCCTAAAATCAGAATCAAAGTGGCCAGCCAAGAGACGCCTTATGCCTTAAACCGGCCAAAACTCTGAGCCCTTTGTCACCGAGGCTCATCCAGGCCCAAACTGCTCACGCGCGGAACGCAGGCGGTTTAGGGTTTGGGGTTTGG